GGGAAAGTCTGCCCACTCCCAGGAAGCCTCCCGAAGAAGGACATGCACCCCTGACCATCCGGCTCCCATTATGAACTCCGTGTCCTCAAATGGAGAGAAGAGCCAGGCAAAATAACTATATTGATTTGAGGTGTCTTCTAAATAGCTACATATGTTTTTTATTACTTCGATTTTTTGACAAACACTGTTACTGCTGCTGTTGCTATTATCACAGTTCTGTTTGGCTTCTGTTTGAGCTTAAATGTTCTACATGGACCCACTGGAGTCTGAAATAAAGCTTGATTAGATCTAAGTCAATATTTGAGAAAAGACTGAATTTGAGCTGCAAAACTAATCAAAGAACAACATTTCAGAAGTTTTTAGAGGTCAAAACTACAGGGTGAGCAGCTTTTACACCAAATTACACAGGACAAGACATAAATAATTACAGTCTTTGTGATTTGTTTGTGATATATCTTCCTACTTTGAACGTGACGTCTACCTGTGACAGTCTGACAATACTCACTATTGACAAACACTTCTGCCATGCCCTGTGATTGACAAGTGGATTCGAGCAAGCAGCGTGCAGAGTCACTGCCAGAACAGATTTTAAACACGTCCAGAAGACAAAATATATATACAAGAGATTTTTATAACCGGCAAACAAGATCAAGATCACATTTTAGAACATGTTTGTACAGTTCTTAACTACAGGGTTAGAAAGCAAAATAAGACGAGGGCTGTCGCAATAACCGCAAAAATGAATCACCGCGGTACTAAGAGGCCCACAGCGGTGTACGTTGGGCCACTGCGATCACCGCACGTGACCCGACCCAGAGTCCTGCACGGGTCCATTTTTAGAGACCCACACCCGCCCAGACCCGTTAACATTCCACCAGTTACTGCCTGTGATAACCCAGGACTAACACAGAACTAACCCAGGACTAACCAAGAACTAACCCAGAACTAACCCAGGACTAACCCAGAACTAATCCAGGACTAACCCAGGACTAACCCAGGACTAAACCAGAACTAACCCAGAACTAACCCAGGACTAACCCAGGCCTAACCCAGGACTAACCCAGGACTAACCCAGGACTAACCCAGGACTAACCCAGGACTAATCCAGGCCTAACCCAGGACTAATCCAGGACTAATCCAGGACTAATCCAGGACTAACCCAGGACTAACCCAGAACTAACCCAGGACTAACCCAGGACTAAGGTGCACCCGCGTAGATTGTTGGGTGACCGCAGGTGAAAGGACCGCCACAAAGCCCTGCACCGCACGAAGGTAAGTGCAGCCATCGCCCGACTGCGCTTTGTGGACACCTGCTCCGCGTGCTCGGTGTTCTTTCTCTCTTAAGTCTGCAGGTACCCAACCTGGTGCAGGACTCTGACCCAACCTGGTGCAGGACTCTGACCCAACCTGGTGCAGGACTCTGACCCAACCTGGTGCAGGACTCTGACCCAACCTGGTGCAGGACTCTGACCCAACCTGGTGCAGGACTCTGACCCAACCTGGTGCAGGACTCTGACCCAACCTGGTGCAGGACTCTGACCCAACCTGGTGCAGGACTCTGACCCGAGCTGCCACAGTGAGAGCTGGAGAGATGCAGCGGCACTTGCCCCAAAGCCAAATGTTACTTCTCCCACACTACATATGCTATATCCACACAACAACCAAGGTACATGTGCATCTGCTCAACAAGCGCATCATCGGAGAGAGTTTTCAGTGCTGCTGGAATATTGTAACTCCGGGGGAGGCGTGTGAGGGACGGGGTGCGATATCATTGCATACCGCGGTGTTGAGCCACTATACTGCACCGCAGGAGAAATTTCCTAACTGCAACAGCCCTAAATAAAACATGATATTTTGTTTTTTGCTGATGGAATTATGATACTTAAACCCTTATTACGCTGTTTTCTGATCTATGTAATATGTATAATGTATAATGGCATGACATCACAAGGTGGAAAAGAGCATTTTGAGCTTTAGCCAGACTAATAATAAAGGGTTGCTTCTAGGGATGGGCATGATTAATTGATTAATCAATAATTGATCATTAAGAATTTCCTCAATTACGTTCATTTTAATCAACAAATCGAATGTAGGTTGCTGTGTGTAGCGTGACCAAACAGGGGTCCGTACATGTAGCTCTCTGCACTCAGAAGGAGCGAGCAAACACAAACAGACAGTCAGTCTGCAACGTACCGAAGCACAAATGCGTATTTAACGATGACTTGTACAAGAAATTCCACGCTTTCCATTGCATTCGGGACAAGTGTGAGTCCATGTGCACAGTGTATAAAGCAGCACATATGTTTCGGTGTCCAGTGGGAAAAAGTTTTAACAGGTGAGAGTCGCGCAATGTCGATGACGAGTCCCCACCTCCCACCCCCTCCTGGTTTTGACAAACACAAATATGGCCACACTAACCTGTATTCCACTGAGTCGTGTCTTTTAATCCGACAGAAATTGACCGCATCAGCGACACAAGAGCTGTAGTTTTATCTTCGCTTAGTTTATGCAAATTAGCGATGCGGTTTTAAGTTTCGTTTCTGTGAGAGTTGCGCAAAACTGAATTAAAACACATTATAATCTCAAACGGGCTGATGTGGCTCTAGAGTCGTTACGGTTTATATGTCGTAAAGTTGAATTTATTTATGCAGATTAGTAGTGCAGATAGTAATAATAATGATGCTATTTCAATCTGATTGCGATTAATCTTGCGGTCCTACTCAAAAGGCTGTGAATGGACAAAAACACATGGCATGATAAGTTTTAGATGTGGAAGATGTACTATAACATCGCAGGGTGCCCAAAAACAGTCTCTAGGAAAGTTCACTTGAATAACTTCGGATAACTAAGACATAGACAATTCTCTTCTGTATTATTTTGGAACTGTTTTCTTAGCACCAAACTTATTTTCTCAAACAGCGGGTGTATATTACAACAACTTTTCAATTTATTAAAGCTTTGACAGCCCACAAAGATGCATATTCACATTGTCACAGCAAGAAACACAGAAATCTACAGACTTATGCAGAAAGCGAAAAATGCTGTTTAAGAGTTTGATCCGTTTGTAACAAATTGCGTGGTGGAGAAAAGTTATTCTGACAGCGCACACAGCGGTGACGAAGCAGAATAGAGCACTGCTAATTACTGCATCAATTTATTAACTGTAATATAAAGGAAGAATTAATCATTTCATTTACTGTTGGAGAATGGTTATGAATCACAATATGACCAGGGCGAAAGCAAGGTCTGTTTTAAATGAAGACTAATTACAATGTGCAGAGAAAGTTGTGGACGCAAAGCTTAAGGTGGTTCATAATAAATGCCCACACAATAAACATCATTATATTGGAAGCAGTTGGCATTAAAATAAATCCATGGACAGTACAATCCCACGCAGCCTTTTGGCCTCTAATTAACTGTGCGACCGACGTGGAGCTCTGCAGGCTTTTAGAACATTAGCCACTTCCAATGACAATTTATATTTGTGCTTTTCTCCAAACAAACAAGGTCACTGGAGTCCATTTCTCAACTTCAGATGTAACTTTGTCTTTCCCTTCCATGTTAAAGCAACCAAGAAAGGCATGACTTTATTGATTCAAGACTGACAAGCCAATCTATAATCAGATACTAATCGATACTGAAACTAGTATCAATACTCATTTGAGCAGGTATTGATATAAAAAAGTCACATTCACACGACAGAAATTAACCTTTGCTGAACCTTTCTTGAATTGAGCTTTGTCAGAGCCACTATGGGACACATATGGACCACTGAGGGTTTACACAAATATAAGACCACATGGTAATATAAAACAAAGTCTTAATTCTGGTGTTGAAAATTCTATTGTTCAAATAAAGAGTGTTTTTTATTATCTTCGTAGTATTGGAATTGGTATTGAGTGTCAAATCTATTCCTTAGTATTAAGAGTGTGCCATAACTCAAAAACTGTGCCAGAGAACATCTCCTCTCTCAGTGCATTGTCTTTGTTCTTAAAGAAACGCATAAATAAATACTAAATACCCAAGCCTGACAAATATTATGAATCAAATACTTAGCTACAACATACCAAGATGCACACTTCCTTTTAAGGCTGTGCAATTAATCGAATTTTGATCGCGATTTCGATTTGTGTGTCAAACTCATATTATCTACTTGAAACAAGCTTAACAAAGTTTATTTTGGGATATTTTTTTATATAAATAAGTATATTTATTTAACTTTTTATATATAGAGATTGTAGAACAGCTGATATACAGTTTATTTTGGATACATTTATGTTTTCTATTCCTTATTTCATTTTATGTTTTATACATCACAAAACTGCTCTAAGGTTCATATTTGTAGCCTGTATTTATTTTCAGTTTGAAAGTTTTGCATAAATTATCAATATCAAAGTGCTTTTTTTTTTTTTTTTGAGAGAGAAATGTTGAATAAAAGTATTGTATAACTAAAAAAATTATCATTTGAATAATTGTGATTTCAATTCTGACCAAAATAATTGTGATAATGATTTGGCAGCCCTACTTCTTTTGGTATGTTTGGTATGTTTTCAATTAGTTTTGAACCCCGAACCACTTATAAACATCAACAAACAACACCAAACTAACTGAAATCCAGATATAAGCTATAAAACCAACTGGCTAGACAAGCGGTCCAGTTATAATCTGCAGAAGAAATATAGATAGAGCTTAATGTAATTCCAAACAAATGCAGAAATCTTAATATGATAATAAATTCAAGGGAAAATTTTGGCAAGTTCTACTGAAATACTCAAGTAAACTGAAGTAAAGTGTTCAGGTAAGATTAAATGCTGTCCTTTTTGTCTGATATTTTCAAAGTATTGATAATTCAAATGAGTATCTAGTTTTCATACCAAGTTTAGTATCTAATTTTGAATGCTTATGATGAGTCTGGTGAGAATTAAAGCCTGACCGAAATTTATTTGTATTAGAAGGTCACAGCGATGACTAAAAGCACAATAAAGCACAATATGACTCACCTGGCGGCGGTGGAGGAGATGGAGGAGGTGAGACTGCAACGGGCTCTGGCTCCACCTCTGGGACAGGGGCGGCAGGAGCGGCAGGGGCGGCAGGAGCGGCAGGAGCTACAGGAGCGGGGGTCTGAGGAGGAGGTTCAACAGGTTCAACAGGAGCAGCGAATTCAGCCAAGGGGGCAGCGGCAATGGGCTCAGCGGCAATGGGCTCAGCAGCAACGGGGTCAGCAGCGGGCGGAGGAGGCGGGGTTTCCACTGGAGAGGGTGGAGCTGGCGGCGCGACAGGCTCAATGGCAGGTGAAGAGACCGGCTCTGATTTGGCAGGAGCTGGGGCTGGGTCAGGCTCGGCAGGTGGAGGCAAAGCAATTGATTCGGGGATAGGCGGAGAAGCGACGGGTTCGGGTATGATTGGAGAAGCGATGGGTTCAGGTGTAACATGGGTGGGGGCGGGGATAGGGGGAAGCGGAGCAGGTTCAGCAGGAGCGCTAGGAGGAGAAGGAGGTGGAGGAGGGATGTCTAGAGGTTTAGCAATAGCAGCGGGGTCAGCTTCAGCAGCAGGTGGGGTTGAGATCAGAAGCGCCACGTCAGTAACGGTTGGAGCTGCTACCTGTTCTACCTGAGGAGGTGGAGAAGGTGTGGCCTCAATGGAGGGTCCGGGTGGAGTCAAAGGAGCTTCAGGTTTAACAGCTTCCACGGTAGGAGGTGGTGGTGGTGGAGATGGTTCTGCTTTGGGGGGAGGAGCCACAGGTGGAGGGGGTAAAGATGTGATGGGGTCAAAAGGTGGAGGTAATGGGTGGAGGAGGGGAGGGGGGAGGATGGGGATTGGTGCTGGTGCAGGGACAGGTGCAGAGGCAGGTGCAGGGGGCGGAGAAGGTGGAGCGGTGGCGCGTTTTGGAGGAGTTGAAGTTTCTCGCATCCGGTTGATGACACTCTCGGAAAGCTGAGGAGACAAAGAGGAAAAATTAAGAAGTTGCCGATACGATACATATCTTGAGATTTCAGTTCGATACAATATATTTCAAATCGATTCAATACGGTTCAATAAAAAATAAAGCTAAACCGTGTTTGTTAAACCACTTCTTGTGCAAAGTTCATATGAAACACAAATATTTAATCATCAAAACAGTGAAAATGTCACATGTGTTGCATAAACAATTTTCCTTCCTCTGAACAAGCAACAAAACTGTAGCTCTGTAACAAAATAATGTAGTAAAATATACCAAAAAAATACTCTTGGCGATATAGGCGAGTTTCATTGTTGACAAAAGTGTGCGTTGCATGCTGGGAATTATTTTGGTCGGTGGCAAGAAACACTAATTTAACATGACGGACGGAGCGAGAAAACACATAAAGGGTATTAATCCCGGTTATTTATCCACTCTAACGGCAGAGGACCCAAGACGATTTGACCAGAAATTGGTCATAAGCATCGATGGAGCCAAATCACCCTTTTCAACCCCTACAAAAGGTGGACGAAACAAATTTCTGGTCAGAATTGCCAACTACCTGGCCAAATATTCACTTCAGTGATATCCACAATGACTTGGTGGAAACTCCTGGGCCATTCACAGCAGAAAAGATGAAAACCTCCAAGAGTCTCGATGTGTTGTTGAACTTATTGGAGTCCACGGTTTGTTAGGATCTTCTACGTTTGCTCTGCGAATGTTTTAAAGCCATTTAATTCGCCGTTAGCGGTTATTTTCACTCAGAATACGAAAAAGACATTTTCCTTCTTCCGTGCTTCTATTTGTGCATCCGATAATGCAGCAGGAATTTACCATTATCAGGGATAAATACGCGAGGTTACGCACTGTGTTTGTCCGCTACCATGTTTCTTGCCTCCGACCAAAATATTTCCCAGCATGCAACGCGGGCTTTTAATAACAATGACGTCAGTTGAAACTTGCCTATATCGATACAGCAGCCCATGATATCGATAATGTATCATCACATTAAACCAGCCATGTCAAACTCAGGCCCAAGGGCCAAATTAAAATAATTAAATCTGGCCCACGTGATCATATCAAATATGTATAAGAGCTGCCCGCCAGCTACAGATAGACTATAGAGACATTATTTATTTAAAATGTTGTTATTCTTTTATATTATGCTTGTTCTGGATTCAGTGTTTAAGCAAAACTATTAATAAACATTTATTTTAAGAAGAAAAGGTTTAACATAACATATCTCGAAAGAAGAGAAAACATGCAGATGTTGTGGAAATTTAGTTTTGGCCCATGACTTAGTCCCAGTTTTTAATTTTGGCCGTCTGTGAATTTGAGTTTGACACCCCTGCATTAAACAATACAATATATCGATATTCCAGTAGTTTCGTACACCTCTAATCCTAATTACAGTTTTTGTTTGATTTCCTTAATCAGACTTAATTTAATTCACACTTTGCTGCTAGTCATGTTGAATAGAAAAACAGCAATCATATATTTTTACAGTTTTTATATGGAGAGAACCACTTGAAGCAACAACTAAACCTGACAGATGCAATGTTTGAAGCTGAAACACCAACTAAGTCACTCAGACCTGCCACTCCTTTAAAGCACTGCACAGCTTTTCTGGGTGAAGGGTTCACTACAAACTTGTCTCCATGGAGATGTCATTGCTTTGTAGATTGTTCCATGGTATGACTTTAAACATTTCCACCAGACATTTATTCATTACGGATGTGCTCAAAAGTACAATTATTCCTTCTGTGAATAGAGGCGACTCTGCACAGATCTGAACCATAATGTAGTGTAGTGCTGTAACCTGCTGGTTTATGCTAATCTATACTGTGGAACATTCTAGACCAGTGTTTCTAAAAAAAAATTTCTGGGACCCATATTTTAAAAGTCACAAACCTTCATGACCCAAGTCAATAGAAATTATTCATAAATCACAAAATAAAAGGTGGATTTGACCATTATTGAACATTAATGAGGATATTTTATTGTTGACTGAGTGATCGTGTCTCTGAACAATTAGTATTACTGAAGTTTTAAACAATGAAAAACAGTAATTGAACCAATAATAAAAGGATCCATAAGTCGCCTATTTGGACATTAGATGTAGCTCATTTCTTTTTCTTTTCAACATTCAATTGAAAGAGCAATGTTGAAACAAAATAGTCAATAAAATAATTACAAAAAGACTAGAAATTACACAAAACATGTCTTAACATTTCAACCTACATGCAGATCGTGACAAGGTAACCCCAAAAAATCTCTTGCGACCCACCTGAGAATCGCGACCCAGTCTTTGGGAAACAATGTTCTAGACCAGGGGAGTCAATCTCAAATTCGCAGAGGCCAAAATTAAAAACTGGGACTAAGTCGTGTACCAAACGAAATATTTACTGAAAATTTTCAACAACATCTGCATGTTTTCTCTTCTTTGAGATATGTAATGTTAAACCTTTTCTTATTAAAATAAATGTTTAATAACAGTTTTGCTTAAACATTGAATCTAGAACAAGCATAATGTAAAATAATAACAAAATTTGGTAATACTTTAGTTTAGGAACCACATAGTAATCGCTATCTAAGTGGTAATTGGTTTGCTAATTAGCTGTTACTTAGCCATTAGTTGGTATTAATCAAACACTTATTAAAGCTTATTAAGATTTCAGTGTATGCACAAAAGCATCTATTATAATCTCCATTACTTTTAATGGGAAGAAAATAGTTACCGGGTTAGTACTCGCGAAATACGGACTTAGACAAAATTGAATGCATTTTACTATGAACTAGCTGTTAATATGTTGTCCCTAATCTAAAGTGTTACCCAAAAATGTAAATAAATAATGTCTCTATAGCCTATCTGGAGCTGGCGGGCAGGTCTAATACATAATTGATATGATCTCACGGGCCAAATATGATTATATCACGGGCCACATTTGGCCCCTGGGCCTGAGTTTGACATGTATGTTCTAGACAAAAAACAGCATTCCTGCAGAGATCAGTGGGTGCTGGACATTCCACTAGCAATGTTACGCAGTGCACCTTTAAACACTAAATAAGTCACTAGGAACTATTCGTCTTTGCATTTTCCATTCCCAATTTATTTTAAGCATACACGCCCCCAAGCAACATGTCAACCTTATATCTTATTCCTTCACAAATGCAAATCAATCGCAACTTCACTATCATCCACTGCATACAGAATGACAACTGAGCTTACACTAAAACTAAATCTATATTGGCATGTATGCACTTGAACTGTTTGAATTTACAAGCCAAAAAGCAGAATATGAGTCTTACAAAATGTAAAATGATTTGCTAAAAAAGCTAAAACTGTATTTGCTCATAGCTGACATTTATTACATCATTTTTTATTTACAGGCAACTATGTCAACACAGTTTTAAGTCAGGTGACCTACATCTTCACATTCCTGACAGGACGTTGGAGAATTTTGCATTTGAGGCAAAACAAGCAGTAATAAAAATGTACGACGTGTACCCTAAACATTTCTATGCGATCCATAACATTCTTTAAACTTCACTTGGGGGTATAGTTTTGGAAGTTTTCCAGTGTGAAGAATGAATGAAAAGTTAAGGACAACGCTAAGACATGCCGTTCACTTTCCTCGCGCACTCAATTACGCACGCTTGGAGACTTTTACGCACGGAAACTAAATATGCAACCTCGGTATTTGTAACTTTAACCATGTCACTGTGCCAAATTCTTCGAACTTACCCGTATGCCCTTCACCACAGTAATGTTGTCATTCTCATCTGACTCAAAGGAGACACGACGGGTGCTGTTATTCGCTCCCATTGTCAGAGCCACTCAGCTGCATGCACAGCGCACAAGTTGCATTCACTTTGCGGTTTTATTAAGTTTATTAGCTCCACATTCAAGGGGAAAACTGGCCTGGGTCCCCACGCAGCAAAGCTCACACACTTTCCCACTTCCTGAATGTCAGATGCCGCTGGAAGAAGAGAGAATCCGATTGGGCAAAGGCGCAGGGCATATGGAAGAAGGGCGCGTCGGATTGGTCCGTGCGTCTGCGTAAGCGTCAGAATGGGCGGATACGAAAACCATGCTGGACTGTTTCCACGGCTCCTGTCATTGATTTACTGTAGTAATGATGCAAGTACTAAGCATGACAAAGGAGGATTATATTACGGAAGTTGTCATTGAACTAGCCAATGTCATAAAGGAAAAATATGCAGTTTAAGTTACAGATGACTTATTAAAGGTGCTTATTGCACTATACAGCTGAAAAATTACAAATATAATATAAACTGTGTTGGGAAGGTTACTTTTAAAATGTATTCCCCTACAGATTACAGATTACATACACCAAAATGTAATTTGAAACATAATCCAATAAATTACTTAAAGTGAGTAACGTAATCTGAATACTTTGGATTACTTGATTTGCTGTAGAGAAGCAAAGATGAGGAAATTTTCACTTAAGATGTTTTGTCTGCTTAACGAAAATAAAAAAGCCCAGACTTTACTTAACCGTATTTAAAATATTATTGATAGAAGAGGAGGAGACACGGTCCACACAGCATCGTTTAGTCCTGTTAAATCCTGTTTTAGACCTGTTTTAGACCTGCTTTAGTCCTGGTTTAGACCTGGTTTAGACCTGGTTTAGTCCTGGTTTAGACCTGGTTTAGACCTGGTTTAGTCCTGGTTTAGACCTGGTTTAGACCTGGTTTAGTCCTGGTTTAGACCTGGTTTAGACCTGGTTTGGACCTGGTTTAAACCTGGTTTAGTCCTGGTTTAGATCTGGTTTACTCCTGGTTTAGACCTGGTTTAGTCCTGGTTTAGACCTGGTTTAGTCCTGGTTTAGACCTGGTTTAGACCTGGTTTAGTCCTGGTTTAGATCTGGTTTACTCCTGGTTTAGACCTGGTTTAGACCTGGTTTGGACCTGGTTTAAACCTGGTTTAGTCCTGGTTTAGACCTGGTTTAGACCTGGTTTAGTCCTGGTTTGGACCTGGTTTAAATCTGGTTTAGTCCTGGTTTAGACCTGGTTTAGTCCTGGTTTAGACCTGGTTTAGACCTGGTTTGGACCTGGTTTAAACCTGGTTTAGTCCTGGTTTAGACCTGGTTTAGACCTGGTTTAGTCCTGGGTTTAGTCCTGATTTAGCCCAAAATGTAAAAACAGGAAAAGACCACCAAGGAATCCATTTATTCCAACAAAGTAACTGTAATCCAATTACCACTCACTGAAACAGTAACTGTAACTGAATACAATTACTCATAATTTGTACTCTGATTACGTAACTACGGTACATGTAATCTGTTACTCCCCAACACTGAATATAAATACCGATATAGTTTTCAAAAACATAATTGTACTGCTGCCTTAAAATGTAAAACAATCAGATGATTCAAACCTGATCCACCTTCTTATAACATATGGATTCAGAAAGTGTGGGAGATATGGAGCAGATAACATATTCTTTAAGGCAGGAGTCTCCACCCTGTAGCTCTCCACCTCCTTCCAAGTCGCTCGCTGTTACATGCAAGCATTTGTTTTGTTTGTGTACTGCTCTCTCCTCTGCCCTGTGTGTTCAGGTGCTGTTGGTGTGACCAGAACTGGAGCTGATTGGCCAGCTGGCTGCAGCTCACTATAACATTTATGTTCAGAGGCAGGATGTTAAAAAAGAGATCAAGCGTAGGGTTATTGAGAAGTTAATTGAACTAAAAGTTCTTCCTCCTGTTTGCCTAGGTGACCCTGTAAACCCACAAAGTGAGCATGCCAGTAATGATACAAGGGAAATGGATGATGAACATGAAATTGTTAATGAAGCTGAAAGTGAGGAAGTTGCAGAGGCTACTCCAGTGAGGGTGAGGGGGAAAAATCTAAGCCCCCCACCAACTCTTCCTCGTTTTGAGTCTTTCTCTCCAGATGAGGATGAATATGCTGAACCTATGTCTGCTGGAAAAGCACAGGGAACAGCCAGTTCTACTGCAAAACTGAAGCTTCGCCTGGCTCGTCTTCAACTAGAAGCGGAGGAGAAGGAGAAAATGCGTAAAGCTGAGTATGAGCTCCGACTACAGGTACGCAGACTTGAAATAGAAGCTGAAAAAGAAGTTAAACTAAAGCAACTTGATTTGGAGGCTATGAGACTGTCAGCTGGCAGTGTGAAAACTGGTAAATCTACATTTCCATTACAACCTGAAAAGGGGCCTTCCAAACATTCATTTGATGTCACTAAAAACATTGCACTGGTTCCCACATTCAGAGAAACCGAAGTTGATGCATATTTCAGTGCATTTGAGAGAATTGCTACTGCTCTGGAATGGCCTAGAGACATGTGGCCCATACTTCTGCAGTGTAAATTAGTCGGTAAAGCTCAAGAAGTTGTCTCCTCTCTCTCCTTAGATGAGAGTTTAAACTATGATGTATTAAAGGGGTCCATTTTACGTGCATATGAACTGGTTCCGGAAGCCTACAGGCAGAAATTTAGGAACCACAAGAAGGCCAGTGGTCAAACATTTGTGGAGTTTGCCAGAGAAAAAGGACTGCTATTTGACAAATGGTGTGCAGCTAATGATGTTGAGAACAACTTTGAGTCCCTTCGTCAACTGATATTACTGGAAGATTTCAAAAATGCACTTCCTGAGAAAATGTCTCTATTTTTAAACGAACAGAAAGTGACCACATTGTCTAAAGCAGCTGTACTCGCTGATGAGTTTGTACTAACCCATAAAAATGTGTTTGTCTCTTCTTCACGAGCAGACAGAGTGGCCCGTCCCCTAACGTTTGGTACTGACAAAGCTGCACCGAACACGACCAAAACTTCAAAGTCCCCTCCACGTGAGGAGCGTGAGTGCTACTACTGTCACAAAAAAGGTCATGTAATTGCTGATTGTTTGTCACGAAAGCGTAGACTGCTGCAGCCACACCCATCACAGTCAAAAGGTGTTGGTTTGGTGAACAACATTACATGCCCAGTCACTGAAATTTCACACAGTACAAACTCAGAAGTTGACTCCTGTTTCAAACCATTCATTTCAGAGGGTTATGTCTCCGTCACAGAAAATAATGACAAATATCCAGTGACTGTACTACGAGATACAGGGGATTCTCAGTCCATAATCAGAGCGGGAATTCTCCCCCTATCAGATCAAACTTCATGTCATACTAGTGCTATCGTCCAGGGAGTGGGGATGAGTTTTATTTCTGCCCCGCTACACAACATTTATGTCAATTTTGCACTAGTAAAAGGGCATTTCAAAGTTGCTGTCCTCCCTGCCTTGCCAATTAAAGGTGTTGATTTCATCTTGGGTAATGATCTGGCAGGAGGTAAAGTGTCCCCCGTACCAGAGGTGGTGGAGAGGCCTGACCAAAGCACAGAATCTGACCATATTGATGTGTTCCCTGAATGTGCTGTCACAAGGTCTCAAGCCCGAAATGATGTTGTGGACTTGTCTGACAGTTTTCTGGTTGGGGAGAACGGTTACCAAACAGAACATGACAATACAGCTGAGGAAAAATGTCCAGCTCCCGTGGGTGCAGTTAAACTACCAGCCACAGCGGAGTTCATCACGGCACAGAAAGGTGACAAGACACTATTAAACTGTTTCTCTGTTGTTGAACAGGAAGGAGCCACAAAGAGCAGAGTGGCATATATACTGGATGATGGCCTGCTCATGCGTCGTTGGAACAGTGAGGCCACCGGAACTGAAGGTGAACATGTCACTTATCAAGTTGTAGTGCCCACAGTTTATCGTGCCCAAGTGTTGTCTTTAGCCCATGACCACCCATGCTCCAGACATATGGGTGTCACTAAAACCTACAACCGGGTACTAAAGCATTTCTTCTGGCCTGGACTAAAGTCGGATGTTGTTAAACACTGTCGAACATGTCATGTTTGCCAAATGGCCGGAAAGCCTAACCAGGTGATTCCTCCTGCACCACTGTGTCCAATACCGGTGATGGGTGAGCCATTTGAAAAAGTCATTATTGATTGTGTGGGGCCGTTACCAAGAACTAAAACCGGAAATCAGTTTTTGCTCACTATTATGTGTGCCTCCACCAGGTACCCTGAAGCAGTACCCCTGAGGAAAATCACCTCTCCTGTCATCACCAAGGCTCTGGTAAAATTCTTCTCTACATTTGGGTTGCCAAAGGTTGTCCAAACGGATCAAGGTACCAATTTTAAATCCAAAGTTTTCGCCCATGCTCTGCACGCTTTGGGAATCAAACATGTCACCTCCAGTCCATACCATCCTGAAAGTCAAGGTGCACTTGAAAGATTCCATCAGACTATGAAATCGATGCTGAGAAAGCACTGCCTTGAGTCACAAAAGGATTGGGATGATGGGGTCCCACTGGTGCTCTTTGCTGCTAGAGAAGCTGTACAAGAATCATTAGGCTTCAGTCCAGCACAGCTAGTCTTCGGACATAAAGTCAGAGGCCCATTGAAAATTCTCAAGGAACAGCTCATTACTCCTACAAAAACAGTCAAAAACATTTCTGAATATGTCTCTACACTCAGAGAGCGTTTAAAAAGAGCCTGCTCTTTGGCTAAAGAAGCTCTGGCCTCCTCTCAGACCAAAATGAAGAGGAATTTTGATAAAAAAAGCAGTTGTCCATACATTCCAGCCTGGTGACAAAGTTCTGCTTCTTTTACCTATACCTGGCTCTTCACTCTCTACTAAATTTTCTGGTCCCTATGTTGTAGACAAGAAACTGAGCGACACCAACTATGTCATTCACACACCGGACCGGAGGCGGCGCTCCAGAGTTTGCCACGTGAATATGCTGAAACTCTATCATGCTCGGAGTGACCAACCTGAACCGGCCAGTCCCTGTGTTGACAAGATTCCTTCCACTGTTGCTGCATTCACAAAGGTGAGCTCCTCAGATCCTGAAGATGGCCTACTAATGCAGAGTGCCACACCCCAAGGAGCTAAGCTCAGCAACAGCCAAATACTGACAAATCTGTCTAGCTATCTGTCAGAACTTCCCAATGATAAATGTGATGACATCACACAACTTATATTGGACTTTCCCAAACTATTCAGTGACATTCCCTCTCAAACATCAGTTATATCACATGATATTGTCCTGACTAACCCTTCGCCAATTAAGCAGCATATGCTTATCGGGTCAGCCCAGCTAAGAGGGAAATTATGAAAAAGGAAGCTGAGTACTTAATACAAAATGGACTTGCTGTGCCCAGCTCAAGTCCCTGGAGTTCTCCTTGTCTCCTTGATACAAAAGCTGATGGGAGCCCCAGGTTTTGTACAGATTTCAGAAAGTTCAATGCTGTAACTGTACCAGATGCTCATCCTCTGCCACTTATTGATGACTGTATTGATGAAATAGGTCCCGCGACCTACGTGAGTAAACTCGACATGTTAAAGGGATATTGGCAAGTTCCGTTAACCCCCCGCGCCTCTGATATTTCAGCTTTTGTGACCCCAGATTACTTCCTCCAGTACACAGTCATGCCATTTGGACTCTTGCAATGCCCCGGCCACTTTTCAGAGGTTGGTAAATAAAGTGTTGGGAGGCGTACCAAACTGCAGAGCATATTTGGATGATATTGTTGTGTATACCAATGATTGGGCTTGTCATATAGCAACCCTGAGGGAAGTTTTTAAAAGACTGTCTGCTGCATCGCTAACCCTTAATCTTGCCAAATGTGAATTTAGACAAGGCACTGTACAATATCTTGGTCAGCAGGTTGGCGGTGGAAAAGTGTGCCCAGTGGAAGCTAAAATCGCAGCCATCATTACCTTCCCTACACCTACAGCAAGAAGGGAGTTGCGCCGCTTCCTAGGCATGGCTGGATACTATCGCCGGTTCTGTAAGAACTTCTCCTCAGTAGCAGCGCCTTTGACTGCTCTCACCAGCCCCGCTAAGCCCTTCATTTGGTCCAATGAGTGTCAAAAATCTTTTGAAAGCTTAAAAGCTATTCTGTGTTGCACCCCTGTTTTGTCTGCTCCAGACTTCCAGCGCCCATTCAAACTGGAGGTGGATGCTAGCATGGTGGGAGCTGGAGCTATCCTTCTCCAAGAAGATGATCAAGGCATCGATCATCCTGTAAGTTATTTTTCTCGCAAATTTGACAAACATCAGTTAAAGTACTCTACTGTTGAGAAGGAAACCCTAGCCTTATTGTTTGCAGTGCAACACTTCGAAGTCTATCTTAATTCTGGTCCCCATCCCATCACAGTATTCACTGATCATAATCCCCTTACATTTCTTTCAAGAATGTACAACAAGAATCAGCGCCTCATGAGATGGTCACTGATCCTGCAAAATTACAATCTGGAAATTAAACATAAAAGAGGATCTGAAAACATAGTTGCTGATGCTTTATCAAGGATTCCCTAGTAAAAAGCATTCAAACTATGTTTGAATTTATAAGGGTGGGGGTGTTACATGCAGGCATTTGTTTTGTTTTTGTACTGCTCTCTCCTCTGCCCTGTGTGTTCAGGTGCTGTGGGTGTGACCAGAACTGGAGCTGATTGGCCAGCTGGCTGCCAATCAGAGTGGAGAGGGCCATTTAAAAGGAGCTGTGTGCTGCCTCTCTCTCTCTCTCTCTCTCTCCTGTGTATATGGCTGCTAGCCCAGGTTTGTTTGGTTGGGAGGATTGGTTAGGTAAGTTTGGGGATCCCTGTACATTTCACACCACGTAGATTTTTGTTGTTAGACACACTAGTTATCAGTTGTTGCCACCCTTGTTGTTTTGAGTTTTCCAAATTCTCTTTTTTAGACCAGGTAGGCTAGGCTTTTGATTTCTTTCCTTTTTGTAGCCTAGTTTTCAGTTAGGGCCTGTTTTGGTATATCTTTTTGTTTGTTGATTTGGCACAACTGGCCCACGCCTCCTCCCACCAACCTTTTGTTCATTTTTTGTGCACTTTAATGATTGTTTGGCTGTCAAATAAAAAGTTTGCCAAACTGACTTTGCCTCAAGGGTTGTTTTATACACGTTGTGTCCCTTGTTGGACATAGGGGACATAACACTCGCCAAGGGATTTCTGAATTATAGACAGTGTTGGGGAGTAACAGATTACATGTACCGAAGTTATCCAATCAGAGTACAAATTATGAGTATCTGTATTCGGCTACAGTTACTGTTTCAATGAGTGGTAATTGGATTACAGTTACTTTGTTGAAGTAAATGGATTACACGGCGGTATTTTCCTGTTTACACATTTTGGGCTATAGCCTTTTTTTTTCTTTTTTTTTTTGATAATTCCACTCATTGTTGGACACTAAACCAGGTCTAAAACCAGGTCTAAAACCAGGTCTAAAACCAGGTCTAAAACCAGGTCTAAAACCAGGTCTAAAACAGGTCTAAAACAAGGTCTAACCCAGGTCTAAACCAGGACTAAAGCAGGTCTACACCAGGTCTAATATAGGTCTAAAACCAAGGCTAAACCAGGTCTAAACCAGGCCTAAACCAGGTCTAAACCAGGTCTAAACTAGGTCTAAACCAAGACTAAACTAAGACTAAACTAAGACTAAACCAGGATTAAAACCAGGTGTAAACCATGACTAAACCAGGTCTAAACCAGGTCCAAACCAGGTCTAAACCAGGACTAAACCAGCACTAAACAAGCACTAAAACCAGGTCTAAACTGGGACTAAACCAGGACTAAAACCAGGTATAAACCAGGTCTAAAACAGAATTTAACAGGACTAAATCATGCTGCATGGATCGTGTCTCCTCATCTTCTATCAATAATATTTTTTATTTGGTTAAGTAAAGTCTGGGCTTTTTATTGTCTTTTAGCAGACAGGACGTCTTATGTGAAGATTTCCTTGTCTTTGCTTCTCTACAGAAAATCAAGTCATCCAAAGTATTCAGATTACATTACTCACTTTAAGTAATTTAATGGATTCTGTTACAAACTACATTTTGGTGTATGTAATCTGTAATCTGTAGGGGAATACATTTTAAAAGTAACCTTCCCAACACTGATTATAGATAGATGAATTGGCTCAAATTTGATGAATTATCATTATAGATATATCATTTTGATGCAGAACTTAGTGCACTAATGGATGGATAAAGGTCTGTGTTTTATAGGCATATAAGTGTTCCCCATTGACCATTTCCTATGCTCAATCTCTTGTGACCACTAAAATAAGTAGCTCTTTGGCATTTTTTTTTTGTCAAGGTAGCTCATCGGAAGAAAAAGGTTAGAGACCCCTGCTTTAAGGATTCAAAAACCCATATTTATTAAGCACTAGAAGCCTGTTTTGCCTTTGTTAATACAGTAGAGATGACATGGGGCTTCTTTTATAATTGTTTTATGATATGTAAATAGTAGGCGTTTAATTATGTGACTATTACCCTGTTGTTGTTGTTATTGTTACAAACTTAAACTTAACTTGAAAATGGCTATGTTTGTATTGATTTAAATCACTGTATTATTGCTGAAAAAGAAAATAAAAATTAAGTTAAAAAACACACACAAATTGATTGATTGATTGATTCATTCATTGTTAGAAATAAACAAGAGAGAAACAAGAATCATGTGTACTACATACACATTGTAAACAACAGTAAAGCACATTTCTCGAAAAAGAAATTATCTAGCATTATCCAACCATATTTATACATTTAGTCTGGTATGTTTTTGCTTTTGTGCATATATTGAGTGGTGACTTTTTAAACATCTACCTTTGTTTTTAGAATTCTATTATTTTTATAGTTAAAGATGCATTGTGTGACTTTTCTGGTGAAGATTTCCATGGACATGTTACTGCTTTGTCTGGAATGTTGCCCAATGTTGTATTAAACCTTTCAATCATTATGGAGTCCAAACCAGACCAAGTTACAGGTCAGATCTGTGGAGATTCAACCACGCTCACAGTCAGAATGCATGCTTTTCTAGGTATTTTTAAGCAATAAACTCACCTGTAATTGAATAAATGTAAGGTAAAGCTGTTTAATGTCATACTGTGGAACATTCCAAGCAGAGCAATGACATATCCATAGAAACAAGCAGGTGAAGAGTGACATAGTGCAACTTTAATATGTGTCAGCTGCTACCGACATGTGTTATAATTAGTATATTCCTATATAACATTACATTGTCACTATCTGAAAACCCCCAGAGAGTCTTGATTGTCAGAGCAGCTTGAGCAGTATCCAAACAAGCGATGACCTTGGTGATGTGTTGATGAGGAAAAGTCCCGCAATCAATTATTTGGACAGACAAGACGGTCGGCGGGGAGACGAGATAAGAACTTCAAAATTAAACTTGGACCTGGAAAACGAGGTGAAACAAAAAAACAGTGACAGATCCATTGTTTTGTTTTTTTTCTGGAAGAGACTTAAAGATCACCCACAATGTTATCTCCCAAGTCCACCGGTGCATCAATCAGGGCACAGCTGCTGGGAATCGACCCTGCTCAATCAATGGGCTCCTCCATTCTCATCGGTACAGCACAGATTGTCAGAGATACAGGAGAAGGAGGAGACAGACCTGCCAAAACCTGCACTTTAAATGGGCAAAGCTATTAACTCTCTGACACCATGTCTTCTGCTTTTATTCTCGGTTCAAACTCTTATTTTAACTGTCTGAAAAAGTAAAGAGAGTACAAAGTTTAAAAGAGTTATTGATCGTACAACTCTGGAATAAATGTACAATATAGTTTCATTATTTAAGCCAATTAGTTTCGTCGGTCCATTTCACTAAAGGCTCATAGTTGAGTATTGATAGGTACTTGCTCTCAGTCTATAACAGAAAGCTGTGATTCGTTGCCATTGGATAGGCTATGCTTTCTTTTCATCTAATCATTGAAGCTTATTATAAATTAACAATGAATTGCAAATTTAACAACACATAATTACATTTAATAATACATAAAAGGAACAAAACCTATAGTTTATACAAAATATGTAAGCAAAATATACTAGAAGCAATTTGCGGAGTGTTTCTTGTAAAACCTATGCGTCTTCCGTGAGTTTTCATCACTGAACTACAACTCCCATGATCCCTCTCTGCGTCCTCGCGCTCTCTTCTTCCTGTTTAGGTGCCGCAGCTGTAAAAATGGCAGATACAGGGAGATACAAAGGTGCAGTTAACAAAAACAAAGATCCCTCCGGTCTTCTCATCTCTGTTATAAGGTAAGAATGTTATGCTCTTTATTTTATGTTCAATCGGAGCGCTAAATCCCACGCTAATCGTATTTTATTCACAGATTTGTGGTGACAGCTAGTCTTCATGCTAGCTACATGCTGCTACATCCTTCCTGTATCTGTATTGTTAATGTGCTATGATCAAAAACTTTAACATTTTACTGGTTTTAAAGATTACGTTTTACTATCTGCAATGCATAAACCTCTATGTGAAATATTTTACTAAATATACAAAATTCTCTGTTGAGAGTTTGCAATCACTAAACTATTGTAGTCCACTTGTTGTCTATTGAATCTAATAACTGCATTTATTCCACTTAATGGCAACATAACTGGATAAATATAGGTTTGTGAGTGTGGACTAAGCTGCTAAAATACAAAATAAAGTGCTTTCATGTTATTTGTGGCAGTAAGGCAACATAAAATAAAGGTGCTGACACTGAATGAGGCCTATTGTTATGTAGACTGTAAATATGTAAATGGACATATCTACCCCTCTCTCTGTTACTGCTGCAGTGAGCCTCATTATTTTGGTTTTAAGATGTTCGCATTAACCCGCTCTACATGATCCTGGTGTTTCCACTTGTTTACACAGCCTAGGTTGGTCCAAATGGAGGCTAATTGATTTGTTGAATAATAGAAGTGGAACAACACTAAATTCCTGCCAGTCTACAGGAGACACACATTTTGGTCCATGTGAGCAAGACAAGATAGGATTTTGACACATTGTAATAAATAAATTGTGTAGTCTAATTGTGTAGTTAACGTTTTTAAAAATGTTGGGATTGTAGCACTGCTTTTTTTTTAGATACAGCTTAAGTGGAGTGACTTACCAAATACCGGCTCGAACGTCCCAGTGGCTTGAAAGTCCTGGCCTATTCTCTCAGTGGGGCTTCTACTTCTCTTGAGTGGCACACTGGTACCTACTGTGCCCAGGAGAAGGAGGATGTGTCATGCACTGTGATGTATTTAAATGTTACAGCGGTCACAGAATGTTTTTTTCATTTTTATTTATATTATGTATATAGATTAATTAACTTAGTTTCATAAAGGGTACAATTCAGGGAGACTTTCCAGCTAGGGGGACTTTCCAGCTGATTTCCAACTCACTGTTTTTTTTTTTTTTTTCTGTCCAATCCACGGATTGTTACGTGTAATCTTGTGGCAGGTCTATTTTACGATATCTTGTGCTGTGAGATTTTGTCCTCTCCTCTATACTATATTATTTTTTATTTTATTTTTGTCCGTATTTTGCAGAACCTTGTCCAGCAGCGATGATGTGCAGGACCGAGAGACAGAGAAGGGGCGTCTGGAGGAGGCTTTTGAGACCTGTGACCGAGACCTGGATCAACTCATAGTCCAACATTATGCAGAGCTCACCACAGCCATCAGGACGTACCAGAGCATCACAGAGCGAATCACCAGCTCCAGGAACAAAATCAAACAGGTGGGTGGAGGAAAAAGTAAAGATGTGAGCTAGGGCTGGGTAATTAATAGAATGTCTAATTGTGAGTCGTATGCTTGAAGTTTTTATTTTATATTTGTTTTTTGTTTTTTTTAATTTATTGAGAAGTCTACACCATTTGTAAAATAGTTTGGAGCAGAAATTTGTTTATGTTCATTAACTCAATACTGAAATTAATGTTTGTTTCACTTTGAAAAGAGAACTGAAATTTAATCCCAAATCAACTTTGATTGATATGACAAAAAAAGTCTTGATTATTTTTGTTATGCCATACTGTCATGTGAGCAAACTTTTATTACATTTGACTTGGAGCGTCCAGTAAACAAGTTTATTCATAAGAGAAATGGTTGGTCATAATAGGTCATTTGCACAGTCATTTAGGCTCTTCAATGTCAGTGTACATTCCTGAGTCCTGCGGTAGAGGTGATGATTTTATCATTAATTATTAAAGGCTCTACTTTTAGTTAGTTACAACTGGATATATTTGACAATAAAATGGGATAACAGTAGCTCGGTTTTTAGAGTGTTTGTCCACAGATCTGAAGGTTGGCGCTTCGAATTCCGCTCTCAACATAAACATTATTGCTAGAGCGGTCAGATCCAGTGGCTCACAGGTTGGCGGTACGATTCTAGCTCCCACAGATGAATGCTGTCTCTATGATCTTGGGCAAGACACTTAATGCACCTTGCTCCCAGTGTTTGCGTACAATTGCGTATGAATCTGTGTGCGAATCGGTGAGTGGTTTCTTGATGTAAAGAGTGACTTGAAGGTAGAAAAGTGCTATATAAAAATGTGACCATGACCAATTATCTATACACAGAGTAGAAGAGCTTTTTGAGATGAATGTTGATTTTTTTTTTTCCACTTGTTTAAATTGACCTTTTTCTCCTCCAGGTCAAAGAAAACCTTCTGTCCTGTAAGATGCTGCTCCACTGCAAAAGAGACGAACTGAGGAAGCTGTGGATCGAGGGCATTGAACACAAGCATGTCCTCCAACTGCTCGATGAGATTGAGAGCATCAAACAAGTGCCACAGAAACTAGAGGCTTACATGGCCAGCAAGCACTACCTGCATGCCACGGATATGCTGGTAAGTGCAATAGAGATTTGAGCCTGCCTGGTAAAATATGCACGTTCAAATAAAATAAAAAAGATTGTGCTAGTAAGAAGAGCAGCGGTGGGTGAAATTGTTCAAAATTGTTATCAATCTTTTTTGTTATTTCTGTAGTGGTTTTCAACAACCAGATTTGATAAAACTGTTCTCCAATTTGAATACCCAAGTGATGAAAGGATTTGGTTAAGAAAAGCTCAGCACGTCTGTTTGGATTTATCATGGATTTCTGAATGTGATCAGAAAAAATCCTTGTATAATGCTGTTTTCATACAATATGACACAAGATACTCATATACTCATACTTTTTTGAAAATAAACCTTAATGTACCAGACTATTGTTAGTATTCTAGCAGGAGTAAAAAAAAAATAAGTGAGCTGTTTTTATTACCTAAGTAAATGTTAACAAAGAAGAAGAATTAATATTTTCGTAATCTGGGACATATAAATACTGAGTAACTATTCGGTTGCCACAATGATAATTAAAAACACTGTTGTGCTCTTTTTATTTGAAGAGGTTTGTAACTCGCGTAAAAAAAATAAGCACTTGTGGAGATCCAGGAACTGCATTTATCCATTTATTTTAAAGAACAACAACAACAAAAAAATCTCCGTGGTTGACTTTCTTTTGCAATATAGTGTGGTTCACAAAATAGTATCTTCTCCACTCTGGTGCTACAGGTGACAAGATAAACCTGAAAAACTAAGAAAGAAAAGAACATTTTTTTATATTATATAAATTCATCAGATTAATAATTTCTTAAATAAATATAAACTTGCTCGAAGAAACACTATATTTAGATAACAGAATGTAATTTTCAACATTAAATAAGTGCTTTCTTTTATATTACCAAGTGGTCTTTTATGTATCTCATATATAATCCTCAGTGGTCGAGGTAGCTTCCATCATTGTCCATGGGCGTATACTAGGCATGTCCAAACTATGGCCCGTGGGCCAAATGTGGCCCTCAGACAAATTTTTCTTGGCCTTCACGCTTCCAGGTGAATTGGCCCAAATTACCTTGCAACAATTAAAAATGTACTTTTTACTGAAAGTTTTTTGAAAATCTAATTGATAAAGCTTATATTTAATGTTTAGTTTGTGGTTTTAAGGATTTTAGAATGAGCCATCAGTCTTTATTTATGCTACTGTGTTAAACATGAACATATTTTAATTATTCACTGTACTGAGCACCAGTATACAGCCCTCTGCTTCATCTGTGTTTAGATATGTGGCCCTTGATGAAAAAAGTTTGGACACCCCTGGCATATACTTTTCTATATGCTCTGATACAGCTCAAGATCATTGATTGATTGATTGATCGATTGATTGATTCGTGTTTATTTCTATTTTGTGCCAAGAGAGAAACAATAATCATGTATACTACATAAACCTCGTAAACAACAGAAAAGCACATTTCTCGAAAAGCTATTCAGGAAACATTCATTACTGCCTTGTAAATGTGACACTTTAGTATTGATACTTGTTCAGATGAGTATCTAGTTTCGATACTAGCTTTGGTATTGATTAGAATCTGATTTTCGATACATTTGCCAACCCTACTACCGCACCTGCTGCTAACTCCAAAGGTAAATAACATTGGGTCTTATGGGGAAAAAGTTGTTCTTGTAAATGGATCTGGGAGCCACTCTATTTGTTTGATGTGGAGGAGCGGCTGGACATGAGTTACTTTGAAAGCTTTCAAGGCCAAACCAATAGAAGTCTTTTCTTTCTATGTCATGGAGCGCACAACTCAACTTCAATGTCACACTGGTCAGATTGATTTCCCAGCATCTGTCATCCTTTTAAGAAGCCCTTTCTAGCCTTGAATTGTCTGGTGGGTGCCCCTCTCACTCTGAGCAGACATCATCTTTGTAAAGTCTGAGTTACCGCTGCGTTGTGTGCGCGCTGTGCTGTTTGATGCATGTTTTTGGCTCGGCAGGAGAGCTAAAGATGGCATCATGGCGAACTAAACAGCTTTCTGATCTCGCAGTGTCTTCGCTCGCTCTCATTTTCTCTTTTATCTCTTCTCTCGCTCCTTCTCTCTCGTCCTCTGTCACTCCCACACACTTTTAATTAGATTCTAGTTTATAAGATATAAATTGTTCAGTACTCAAGTATGAATAGTAGATCTGATTGAAAATAATGTTACTCAAGGTAAAAAAAAAGCTGCCTTCAAAACAATTACGCTAATTAAGTAAAAGTAATTGGAAAACTATATCGTAGGGTTGTACACCTTTAGTCTTTGAGTCCATTAATTGATCAGTGGTGTCTTAGTCAATATATATATATATACACTTTCTCTTTTCAGTGTTTGCTAATGTGTGTATTATGTCGCCATGGCAACTGTTGATCATTCCACCATAGAAATACATGTAGTCACTCCAAAGTATCAATACAGTTTTCACACGATTCGCTATGTAAACTAAACATAATCAACTCAATATGAAGGCAATTTCAAAATGATTTAGGCAAATGTTTAAGATATTATCGATACAGATATACTCATTTATCTGTTTTTTGTTTTACGAGAGCAGAGTTAGGCCTTTGAGCAGCTGTTTTCTTGTGTATCCATGCACGGTTGGCCCACTGTAGTGACATGAGTGTATTGAGTATTGAGTCACTCGTGCGTTATTGTGAGGGCCATATTGAACCGTATGATATTGGATAATGAAGATCCCACTCGTGCGCTCTCAAGTCAAGCTGAGGCAGTCTGGGAGAACATATAAGAGTATTCTTATGTAAAAGAAACCGGTGTAAAAACCTGTCTGTACCCAGTCTATGAAACTAATAAACAATGGACTGACTGATCAATTTTTTTCATTGTTTAGAATCCAGATCAATAAGGCCGGTAAGCTTTAATGATATTTTTAGGCCAATATGTAGGACAGATATTTATTAGTTTTTGCCAAATTATCTCATTTAAATTTATGATAAACTCACCCACAGTCTCTTTTTACCACAAACCTTTAAAAGAGTTATCTAAACCAGTTATCTATTTGCATTTGAGTGTTCCAATAAAGCTTTGTGAGCATTCTTGAAGCAGCAGGTCAGCCAAAACAAGATATCGGCCTGTGCTGGAGAATTAAGGGAGCTCCAATCCAATCCAGTCCAACTTTATTTGTGTAGCACATTTTATAAACAAAACAGGTTCCAAAGTGCTTTACATCGCAATATAAAACAACAACAACAAAAAACTCTGCAGAATTATGTTCCAACCTTGAGGAAACTAATAGCATCAATAAATAAAATAATAATAATAAAATCAATGAACAAAAGTAATAAAATCAATACATAAAAGCAGTACTAAATTTTTTTTATAAATAACTAAATAAATTAAATAAATAAATAAAAGACACAGAGGACCACACAACTCACGTGATATTAAAAGTGGGTCTTGAGACGAGACTTGAAACACTCCACTATGGGGGCTGTTGGATTATATATACCGATATTTGCACTTTTAAGCGTATAAACTAACTGATATATTGTCCTATCTCAAGTAGGGATGTAACAATAACCGAAATATCATGATATCGTATCGTCAAAAGTCTCATAGTAATATCTTGGGCCGTCGCAATATATCAACAAAATTCTCTGTTATTGTGCAGCATCAGTTAAAAAGCCGATGAAACTACATAGACCATTGTTCATTGTTTCCCAAAGACTGGTACGTGACCCTTCAGACGTTTTTTTTGGGTCGCCTTTCACAATCTGCATGTACGTCTGCAAGATACGTATACATACATCTCCGTGTACACCCCCGCTCCTCTTTTTTTTTTGGCAGCACCATCTTGCCTAACTGATTTTTGTTTTTTTATTTTTTTTTTTTTTTTTAACTTATTTTTATTGAATATTTTTTGGTGCAAGCCACATAGTTACGAAACAGCAGTAAAAATACAATTCAAGTAAAATGACAAGTTACAGTGTAGATGCAGTCATACACATTGTCTCTTCATTTACTATTCATAATATACACTACACATACACTATATCATAACAAAAAAATCCTGTAAATGTTAGTCATCCAGTTAAAATATAGGCTTGAATTGAAGGCCATTTGTCCATGAAAATTTGTCTTGCTGATTATTGTTTAACAGTAATTGTTCAGAGAGACATGATCACTCAGTCAACAATAAAATATCCTCTTTAATGTTCAATAATGGTCACAAATTTATTTTGTGATTTACGAATAATGTCTTTTGACTTGGGAAGACTTTTAAAATATGGGCCCCCAGAAAAAATGTTTGGGGAACACTGACCTAGACCATGATCCTTTGCTCTGTTTCAGCACAGACAGCATGAAGACATGGCATTATTAAACACTTTTTGGTCTTAATTCTTTGGATTATGACAGAACCAAAGGAAAAAGTAGCATATTCACAATTCAGTTAGGCTCCACAAACTATAAAATATAAATAACTACTGAACTAAGAGAAGCGTATTGTGAAAGTTTTATACTATATACAGGGATTTGGATCTCATTACATCCCTAATCTCTAATGTCAAGCCTGAGTGATTCATACGTTGTTCTTTTTCACTGAGATTTTATGTCATGTCTTGTATGTTCTTGTACGTCTCCTGACCCCTGCTTCAAACCAAATTTCCAAACCGGATCTTATATTAACTGTTGTTGCATTCCAACTATCCTCACACTGTATTAATATATCGTTTTGTATAATAACACTAGTACAAGTGTGATGTCTTGAAGTTACTCTGAGGCCAGTGTTGGGGAGTAATGGATTACATGTACTGGCGTTACGTAATCAGAGTACAATTTATGAGTAACTGTATTCAGTTACAGTTACTGTTTCAATGAGTGGTAATTGGATTACAGTTACTTTGTTGAAATAAATGGATTATATGGTGTTATTTTCCTGTTTTCACATTTTGGGCTAAACCAGGACTAAAACCAGGTCTAAACCAGGTCTAAACCAGGTCTAAAACCAGGTCTAAACCAGGTCTAAAACCAGGTCTA